TCCTCTCCCCTTTCTCTTCTATTCCTTCTTGCCCTTAACCTCTCCTGTTCTCCCCCATCTGCCCTCCCTTCCCCTTCTTCACCCTCTAGAGTCGCCCCCTTCTCCTTGCCCTCCCCCTTTTCTCTCCCTCTCCATCCTGTCTACTCAACCCATCTTATGCCCCTGAATCTATGAAGGTGGGAACTTCTTGTGTAGCGTTACCTAGGCATCTGTCCCAGCATATTGCCTCCTCCTGCCCCCCCCCAACACAGAGGTTTCCTCCTCTGGCCTTTCTGAGAGCCAGCTGCCTGCAGGTGACCCCTCTCCACTGCTCTCTCCTTCTTAGCATCCCCTGTAAAGATGTGTTCTTGAGAAATTTCTCTAGAGAGAGGCAAAAGTGTGGTTTGAGCCCTTCCTTAAGTGACTCGGCCAGACCCCATCAAGGCAATGTCTGCAGTCCCTAGCCAGTCTCCCTTCCTGCCTGGTACCTGCTCCCTTCCAGAACCTCTGGGGTAGCCCTCCAAGTCTTGGTCTCTTTTAAACCCTTTTTTCCTTGTCCCCAGGGTGGAGGTTGGGTGTTGACAAGGCTAAAGAATTTAACTAAACTCAGAGAGGAAGGCTAAGCAGGTCACCTGAGCCTTCTCCCCTATTGTACCAGGGGACTGCTTTATGGGAAAGAAGCCCCAGAGTGCAGGAAAGCAGAGAACGGATTTTCTGATGTGGTCCTGCCTGGCTGCAGGCAGGGGCCTCTGGTTTTATCTTCCCAACTATATGTTCAAATTCTGAGGTGTCCTCCTGAAATAATATTAAACATTATTGGATAAAATAATATTTCCGTAGGTGTCTTTTGGAGAATCCTTGTTTTCTTAAAAAAGACCCTGAATGACCTCCTGTGGTCTTTATACAGTCTTCTTATCAGAGAGATCAGTTCTTCCCGTTGCTGCCTCTGACCCCTTCACTGCAGGGGGTTTCACACTAATCAAAAGATGCTTGTTCTGCCAATTTCACTAGAGGTGGAACCCCTGGGATTCCAAACAAATAGCATCCCAACTCCAGCAGAGAAGGTCACTTAATTCTTATCTTTTCTAGGGCCTAGGTTTTACCTATTTCTTGAATTAGGGATAGGATGGCTATAACAGCTCTAGAAAGACAGCTTTAACTGAGCAAGGCTTGATGCTTTAATGTCAAAGCATCTTCCTCATCATATAGTGGAATGTTGGGTCCACTGCAAGGTGCATGTGATTGAATACAAGCCATTGGATCTCAGTTTATTTAGCAAGCACGATTTGTATACAAGTATAGAAAAATATTCTACAGAAATGCCTTGTTGTTCATTTCAGTGTACATAATCAGAATTCTTTGGACCTGTTATTGTCTTTCATTCTTCAAAGGAAATATGTCTTTGAAGTCAGAGGCAGAGAATTGTAATTTTTCCCTATAGAATCACAGAGTCGAATCCTAACATTTTAGACTTGGGGCATCTTAAACTGCAGCCTTCATTCTGGAACAGGGAAAAAAGATTTAAACAAGAAATGAAACAGTTGTTTTTAAAAAGAGAAATATCTTAGTAGATTAAATGTTTTTTTTCTATTTCTACATTGATGCTATGAATGAAAACTGTCTTATTGGCAACCTTAAGCTTCTCTTAAAATAGACGAGTCTTGGTGTGTACATTCACTTTCTTTGTAATCAAAATTGAGAGCCAAGCATTCAGTTTGCAAATCAGAGGCTTCAGTATTGAAAACAATTATCAACATTTTTATGTATTTGATAAAATCTTAACTGGACTCAGCTTCTCCCACCTAGCATGTTGTATTACATTTAAATATTGACATTTGGAATGATGTTTAAAGCTCAGCATTTTTAAAAATATCAGTGCAATTTCTTTGCATTTTCCATGCTGGTTTCAACCAACATACAGTTCTCCAAAAGAGAGTAAGGTGTGGTATTCATGAAATTGCCAAAATGCAAAGAAAGGATTGAAGAACTTGGACCATCATTTATGTTTTAGGGTTTCATGCACAGAAGGACATGGTAGTGTCTCAGGTAACCTCAGTGTCAGGTGCCTTTGAGTCCCTGTGCAATTTCACTACTTGTAGGTTGTTCACTGTGCATAAAGCAATTGCCAGATTATTTCCATAGTTAAAGGTAATGTGCTTTGGGAAAGCAATCAAAATACCTGCTCAGGTGTTGAAAGCGCTGGGATGCTATCAAACCAATAATTACTTTAAAAGAAAGAGTTGTAATATGGAAGTTATGTTCCTCTGTTAGTTGGGATTTCTTTTTTAGGACCCATTCTCTTAAGCTGCAAAGTTAGAAAAGGCATGTTTTCCTCTTTCCTATAGGAAAACACTTACCTTATCTCAACTCTGAATTAAATACACCCTGCTTTTATATCTTTAGAGAAACCTCAAAACAATTTTAAGATTTCATGTGTAATACTGCAAAAATATCTGCTTGGCAGCTTTGTATACAAAAGTTTAGATTTATCACGTAATATGAGAAATTCAGTCATTTCATGAAGATTTTTACCTGACTGAATCTTGGCCCCACATGATCAACATCTCTTTCCTGTTGTGGTATGAATTTTGGCTGTTTTAAATTAAAGGATTGTATAGATTTCTTATGATAATTTCTCTGTAGAAGTAGTGACGCGATCCTCTCATCTGTGACTAAACCTTCTTTCCTAAACAGAGGCGTTTTATTCTGTTTAGTTGAAATGAATAATCCTTGGGCCTGTAAAATGAGCTGGGAAAATGTTACAAGTATCCTGTTGGACCATCATTTGTATCTTTTATCATTTACTGAGACAAAAGATTATAATTCATAGTTTTCATGTGGGATTTTTGACATTGAAAAGTGTAAGATTTATGTCTTAAAGCTAAAGGAAACTCAGCAGACAGTGGACCCTACAGAAGTTCCAATCCCAGAGTACCGAGAGCAAACTGTAAACCTGGACAAGCGAGCACAGCCTGGTGGGTCCTGGCTTCTTCTCCGGGGGTGGGACACAGGATGGCAGCATGAGTGGCCAGCCACCCTGCCCTTGCAGCTGTGTGAGCAGCAGGGACCAAAAAAAACCACTTGATTGTGCACTGACTCACTGTTGTGCTTTCTCACCTGCACACCTCCTGAGTGTCCCCCTTTTAATTAATTAGACATTGCTAGCGGCAAGGAACCAGATGGCAGCTGAGTGACAGTTCCTCACTCCTCCCTGTCCCTCAGAACTAACCCTACCAGCCAGGACACAGTGCTGATTACAATGGTGTCAGCCCGCAGATAGCATTTCCCACCGGCTTGTGCCAAGCTCGGGGCCAGCTGAGCGTGCAGCGTGCTCAGCCTCCCTGGGTGCCCTTCTGTGGATGGTCATTGTACAGAAAGGAAATTGCAGCGCCACAGAGTCAGGCTGACTTCCTACGGCTTGAAGCCCTCCAGCAGGAGCAAAAGCTACCCAGAGGGCACAGTCAAGCCCAGGCCTCCCAGGCACCTTGCTGTTTCCAGGCAGTCCTTTGTTCACTGTGACCTGAATGACAATCACTGTATCCACAGAGAAGAGACACAGGCCAGCCATCAGCAGAAGATTCACAGAATGGCGGGAGTAAAACATCCCCGCGTCTTAGTTTGAATTAAAAATTAGTAAGGATTGCAGGGCAGTCATGTTGACTTAACAGCACTGGTTCCTGGAGTTTTATTAACAAAGAAGAGTGACGGATATCACCATCTGTCTGTGTGTGATGGTGAGCAAAGGGCCGGCAGCTCAGCCTTGTTCAGGGATGTTGTACGCACCAAGGTCGGCTTTAGCACTTTCAGTCTACACTGCAGTGTCACAGAGAACCGTGCACGTGAGCACGCACACACAAGACACAAGGAAAGCCCCTTTCCAGAAGGCCCTCCACGTTCAAGACCTGGAAGCAGCACTTGACCCGGGACTATAAAATTACCACATCTTCTGGTCAAGAGCAGAAGACAATCAGCCCTCTGAGCTCCTGAAATCTGTGGGCTTCTAACCTGCTACAACTGACACAGAAGTTCTAAAAGCACTGTGTTAGTTTGCTGGAGCTGCTGTACTAAAGGACTAGAGACTGGCTCTCACAGCTCTGGAGGCTGGAAATCCAAGATCCAGGTGTGAGCGGGGCTGGCTTCCCTGCATGCTCACCTGATTGTCTTTGTCCTCATCTCCTCTTCTTAGTAGGACACCAGTACTGTGAGGTTAGGACCACCCTCATGACCTTGATTTAAGTTGATTTAAAGACCCCATCTTCAAGTAAAGTCCCACTCTGGCTCCTGAGGACTGAGCACCGAGCATATGAATTGGGAGGAAGGAATCAACAGCACCAGCAGAGCATTAGCCAAGACCACATCCTGTTCCTCTAGAGCTGTTGCTGGTTTGAAAACCAAGTCCTCGGTGAAGCCTCATTCAGGTGGGGAGGCACAGGAGGCTCAGCTCACCTGCAGGTGGGAGCAGAGAAACTCAGGTGTTTAGAGGGAACTGGGGACAGCTAGAGTGCAAACAGTGCCACAGGGACAGAGGGGACATCGCCATCTGATCCACCCAAGGAGACTCGGGTATGTGTTCTTGTGAGTCACTGTCATTTTGTCCTGTGCAGCATGAGGGGACAGATAATTACCACCGACCATGGCTGTGCAGTCTGAGGTATTGATATGCCTGACTATTCGGAGAAAAAAATAGCTACTTGTTCTTCTATCAAGTAGGGCACAAGGAGGACACAGACAGGACTCTGCATCCTAAAAATAGCCCCACGCCAACTTGGAGAGCTCCCCCAGAGAGCGCCCGCCCCTGGCTCTTAGGACAGTTAATAATAGGATCCGCCTCCTTTACCCTGAGTGGTGACATTTGAGAATCGGAACCTGCAAGAAGAGGGTGCAGATGTGTATTTGTTTGCTTTTCTGGTTTAAGTGCTGGGAAAGGGTGGTTTTTCTTTTGAAGGGACAGCATAGGTTTGTTGTTTCTGTCTATGGGCAGGTGCCCTCTTGGGACAGTAAGTTGAAGCTCGAGTGGGACAATAAGTTGATGGCCTGGATCCAGGTGCAGAAGTAAAGCAGACTCCCTAGCGCCGTGTTGGCGACAGACAAGGAACCAGTTTAAGTGGGTTTTGTGTTAAAAATAATGATCGTTAAATGTAAACTGACTAGCCCCTCGCAGTGGGTTCTTCAAGCCACATTCCAGATGTCCATGAAGCATTGATGTTGCGGCTCTAAGATAGAGGGGTAAGTGATGACATGGGTTGATCCTGTCCTTTCTGCCAGTGATTCTCAGGGCACTCATTGCCCCCGGGCAGCTCTGACTCAGCCTGTCAAAGCCCAGCACTGTAGAGAAGACTATCCTAAAGCTGAACCGTCCAAAGCCAGTACTAACACATTGAGCAGAGGGTAAGCCCTGAGCAAGCAAATGTGCTCCCTGAGTCCTCCAGCAGACCCAGCTGTGGACGGCGGGTGTGCAGACTGAGGAAGGGCCGTTGGTTAGCAGAGCACATGCGCCGAGGCCTGCTGTGGACCAGGACTGCCTGGGCAGGAAGGGGAGAGTGCCTGGAGGCAGCTGGCACCGAGAGCCTGCTCTCTGAGGAGTAATGTAGCCCCCTTCATCTTTGTCTTCACAGTCACATCTTGGTTCCTATTTGGAGAAGCTCCCATTTGTTGAATATCCACATGGACCTGACAGTTGGCAGTGGCCTGGATGTGCACAGGGGATTTGGGCCAGGTGGGGCCCTGAGGTCATAAGTTTCTTCAATTCTCAGAGAGAACCCTGTACTTGAGGGTGGTCGGGTTGACGTTGACATTGTTGGCCTGTTCTGAGCATTGTTTCATTGGCAGTAAGTGGAGAGATCAGGCATTTCCCAACCCCACCAAGAAGTTGTCCTACTGCCAGAAGTCCTCCCAGTAGCGACTGGGTGCCCCTGCCTAGTGAGCTGGCAAGCTGACATAAGGTCCAGTTGTTCATTTATTTCCTCACGGTTGCGGCGTCTTTCATTCGGTCATTTAGCACCCGTTTGCTGAGGGTGTACCGTGATTGGGCACTGTAGCGATGACACTCTTGTCATGCCCTCTCTGTGTATTATCCCTGGTCCTGTGCTGGTCTGCTCCCTGGCCCACTAATCCCGGGAGGCTGGGAGGAAATTAGCTGAGCAGGGAACCAACGACACCTGATTGTAAAAGCAAGGGAAGGAACAGAGTGGAACCGTCAGGGCTGAAGTGCGGCTGCAGAAGTGGGAGACTGCTGCTGAGCTGCCCTACCCAGAGGGATGCTCTGCCTGAATTCCTGCAGAGCCCCCACCATCTTCCTGTCCCTTCATCTTACCTGCTGCCATCTCCCATATGGTTCCTCTAAAATGCAGACCTGATTTCTGAGACCCTTGATTATGACCTTTGCACACTACAGCCCACGTGCCCCAGCAGTGCCCACCATGGCACACTCTTCCATGCTCCATGGCACCCACCAGGATTTCTCCCTCACCATCCCCTTTGTCTGGAAGGTCCTTTAGTCCTGTCCACTGGGCGAGCCCCTGACTGTCCTTCTAAACCCTGCCATGTCTCCCCAGCTCCTCTGCAAAGGGCCCCTTCCTGCTTCTCCAAAGTGCTGACTTCCTCCTCTGAACCCCTCTGGGCTGAGAACTGTTCATTTCTGAGCCTATTTTGCTAGATTGTGTCTATATGTTTGCACTCTTGTTGCCTCTTATCTGCACACAATGTCCAACACATTGTGTGTGCCAAATAGATATGCTTGTTGCAAGATTCCTTTATCGGAGCAGACACCCATGCCCTTCACTTTGCCATTTCCTGAAGAGCAACACAAGAATCGAGAACATGCACAGGTGCTTTCTGTGGGCCAGCTGCTTGCCAGCTGCTGTATGCAGATCATTTCACTAAAGCCTGGCAACGGCCTACAGGGTGGCTGCTGCTGTTACTCCATTTTGCAGAGGAGGAAACTGAGATTTGTGGAGGTTTAATCACAGGCAAGAAGCACAGGAGTAAAAGGAGCAGAGCCGAGCTGCCCCCCGGGGCAGTGTGGAGCCAGAGCCAACCAAGAACGGGATGTAGCTTGGTTGGTCCCCACGGGTGCAGGTGGATATCCAAGTACTGTTGCTTGATGTGCTTCTCAGGAATAATTCATGGAGGACCTGGGGGGTTGATGATGCATCCATCAAATCTGATACACGGTCCTGAATTATCAATTTGGGCAAATATATGCCCAACTTCCCTCTAAGCTTGTTGATTCTGCTGTGTGAAATAGAATAATGCTTTAATTCTTTCAAACTGTAGGAGAAAGATAATTAGTGCTGTTTTATTTCTTCTATATGCAAAAGAAAAAGGCATTTTAAAGATTCTGAAAATAACTTGAGAAAGTGCTTTCTTGAACATAATTATCGCATTGGTGAAAGCACTCAGGTTGAAGAAATTGCTGCTTTAAAAATAATTTTTGTAAAATAAAAACCAATTCTCCATCACAATATTTGGCAAGAATTCCCAATAATTTTTATTGAGTTTTTTGATGGGGGAGATAAGGAAATGCTGTCACATAATGAATCATTACAGGTAAAGTTGAAACTATTCATTTCACTTGGGAATTGAAGGGGAAATTTCTAGAAAAATATTGTAAAGATATTTTCCTATATTGAAACAGACTTTTCTAAAATTCAGAATTTATTATAGCTGTGATACCAAAAAGCAGCTATTGATACTTCAGGAACTTGGATATTTTGTGCACGCTTTTGTTAAAAACAATTATTTTAGCCTTACTGATACTTATGTGTTAGGGTGATATGTGAGTATCAGTGTGGGTGCCCAGTTTGCTTCTTAAAAGGTGTCAGCTAAGCATTGCTTACAATCGAATGGAATAAATATCAGTTGCTGCAGAGATTCATTTGTGCTGGTGTCCTTGGTGGTTAAGGACATATATGCGCAACTCTGCTTCCCCATGAAGGAAAAACAGAAATAACATGAAGAAACTTACCAAAATCTGAATCTGTGACAAGCTTACATTAATTGTAACTAGTTGAATATTATGAGCCTTTAAGATGTGACTGGTTAAGAGTCATCAAAATACCCTGTGAATCACAATTTCTTTAACCTTATCTTTTGCAAAGGGGCTGTGGGTCATCCTTCATCAAGCCTTCCCTGGGTTTCATGTTTGCTTGTGTCTGAGAACTCAGTCCTGGTGGGGGCGGGAGGGCTGCCCTCCCCCTTGCCCCTCCCCCTGTGCATGTTGGCTGGGGAAAGAAGGCAAGACAGCCAGGGGAAGAGCCCCTAAATCTCTGGAGAATACAGGGAGCTGTGCAGTAGGGGCCCAGCCTTCGGAGCCCTGCTGATGGACTCCCTCTGATCTCTTTCACAGTGTGAAGCATCCTAACCAGAGAGAACTCCTACAAGACAGTTTCTCTAAGGGCCAACCCATAAAGTCACGTAAAGCTTAAAAGACATTATCATAATCAAAATGAAAACTAGTCTAATAAAGAGTGAGCTTGAACTCTACGAATTGAATCAAGATGATGATTTTATTAGTAATTCTGCTTAAAAGGTGATTCTGGCATCTGCCTTTTTAATAATGAAAGAAATGGAGGTCTCTTCTTGGTTATTCTTGAGGAACAGAGAAATAGGAAATCCCAGGAGTCCCTTCTTGCTGCATCTAAATATCAATAGCAACTATAATGTGACTTTGAAACCTGGGGTTTCTATTAACAACTGTCAAGGCATTGTAATACTGCTAGGGTCTACCACAGTCAACCAGAATTTTAGAAGTGCTGAATGACTCCTACAAGTGAAAATCCTGACATTTTTCCACCCAAGTTTATACATCCTTAGGAATGCACAGGCTCCAGGTGACTCCAGGTAGTGCCTGGTTCTCCAGGTATCTTGGGAAGACTATTCAGCTTATTCTGCAGCTCATGGCCAGAACCAATAGGTGTCCCGGTTCTGCCATGTTGCTCTCTGGTGGGGTTAGGATAAAACCCTAGTGGATCTGGAGGCAAAGGCAGCACTTAATCCCACTCCTGGCCCTGAGCACATTCACTATTGGGCAGCCAGCTGCTTTCTGAGCATAAGGCACCTCCTTCAAGATAAATAGGAAAATTCAAGATAAATAGGGAAAGCATGAGCCCAGTAGCTCCTGGGAATCATAATATTCAAAGGAAATGATGTTGGCAAGTTCTTCAGAGAGAGGAGGTGACCCACAGATGTCCCTCTTTTAAAGAAGTAGAATATTTATTGAAATACATAAAAAAGAAGAGTGTGTGAAATGATCCATGTTGTTAGTATTTCATAGTCATATTGATGTTGAGTTGGCTCAACTTTTTTATGTTTAACACAATTTTATAAATACTTCCAAGAAACACAGGGGAAGCTCCCTTTTCTCCTCTTAGACGCTGCCTTAGATGGACTGTCCTTACCTTTGCTGGCTCCCCACTCTGCAGCACCAGGAACTGATTTTTGGTAAGGTCATGGTGATGTCTGTGTCCCACTTATTCACCTTTTTGGCTTTGTTCTATTAAGAATACCATTCTGTTACTAGTATCTTTTCATTTAACTCAGCTTTTGCTGATGTTAAGTTAGAAAATTACATGGGAGAATATTATTGTTTATAACATTGGATCTAGGATCTCTAGATGCATGCCATATGTTCTCATAATCTCACTAACTATTGTTGAAATTCTGTCTTGATCAGCACCCAAGCACAAAAGACACTACAAAATATGATGTCCACTTGAAAACTCTGCTACCGATTTGTTTTTAAAGTGAAAAACTGGTTGGTAAATCTAATTTAAAATTTTGTACCAAGTTTTGGACTCCAGCAATTATCATAGCTCATGCAAAATGAACATAAATCATTTCAGTGTAATTGAAAGAGATCTTCACTGTGGTCCATTACACATTGCCTTTCCAATGCTCTTGGGGAAAGGCCTTTCCTGAGTGGAATTCAAGATAAACCTAACTGACCTGCAAGAATTGTTGAAAGAGCTCGTCAGAAACACCTGTGGGTGTTACAGGTGATATTCTGGCCATCAGAGGCTCACCAGTAATGCAGTGCCAATGGCTGATTCACATTCTCTTAATTTCTTAGTCAGCTGGGGCTGGGGAGTGGCCCAGGATCTGGGAGGACTTCCTGCCCTGGGGGTAGACTGAGTAGCCATCTCTAAGGTTCTTTCCAAATCCTAAGACTCACATGGGAAGAATCAGCATCCTTACAGGGAGAGGGGCTGGCACACACTTCATTGATACTCTGGGATTCATCTGCTATTTTTATTGTGCTTGTGACCATAGTCCCACATTTCAGCAATAGCGAAACTTCTGCCTCTGCGAACATTATAGGCACAAAGCACTCTCCTATCCCCTGTGGTCTGCAGTCTTCCCTGAATATTATTCTAAGAAGGAATATTATCTTTTACATGGAAACAGAGTTCATGGCGATATCTACATCCGTTTGGGGGCTTAGGCTGTGTTGCCATAACTACCTCTTCGTGTTTGTCATGTTTTTTAGCATCATAGTCAGCCAATGGAAACAGTTCTACCCAGTGGCTCAGACTGTATTCTCAAATTTCTCTTTTTCACTCCTGTATAAACACAGCATTTAATTGTTATATAATCTTTTGATTGAGACCATTTTAGTGGCCCTATTCTAAGAAAAATCTGGAAGGTCCTTAGTTCTTACAGTGAGGCTCCCACAAGGTCTCCAGTTCTGAGACCAGTAGGAGGTCTCAGGGCCCTGGGAGGCTTCCCAGCTGCACCAGATGTCTTGCAGATCAGGTGTCAGGCCTTCTCTGTGCTCAGCCCTGACAGCTCTGTTGGAAGGAGTGAACCCAGCTCACTCTATGGTAGCTGTCACTCAGAGTTGACATAGTTAGTGGCCCTGCTGGGAGCCCATGGGTTCAACAAGCATAAACAAGAGTGCCTGTATTTACCTTGTCAGGACTGTCAGATGGCCCTGCACCATCTCTGTGGCCAGAAGATGCTCAGGGACCTCAGAACCGGGTCTTGATCAGCACCCAAGCACAAAAGACACTGCAACCCAGGACCCAACCCTGACTGTGGGAGGAAGTATGGGTGGATGCAGTCAAATGATGGCCCCAGTGACACAGGTCTCCATCAAGAAAGATCAAGGATGTGGCAGCCAGTGGCATCCTGTGACTGAGGTGGGCTGCAGAGGGTGAGATAGACCCCCAACCTTCAATGTGCATTCAACTTTAGAGACTACAAGCATGTAGGGCTTCTGCAAGTCCAAGAGTGGGAGGCTGAGAGGGGCTGGCAGTCATGAGGAACAAGCAAGGGCCCTGTTGTCCTGGGCTCCCGAGGGTGTTTGACGGAACAAGGCTCTTCCTTCCCAAGCAGACCCCAGAGCCTGACTCACCTCCTGTCTTCATAGTGAGGGTTCCCAGATGTACCTTCCTCCTTCTGTGTTGTCTCCTGTTGACACGTCACCAAGTCCAAGTTGCAAGTTCCCAAGTTTGAGAGCCCTCTAGTTAGAGGGAAGTTGATCCACCCTACGAGATGGACAGATGTGTTTGTCAGAGGACTCAAGAAGTGATTTAGCTGAACTAGGGCAGAGCAAGCCCACTCAGAATTGCTGTGGGACCATCCCTACAGAGTTTTATGGAAACTTTCCCACTTCACCATGAAATTAAGTTGCCCGGCAAGTCGAGGGACATGGTAAGGTTTCCATAGCAAGGAAGCAAGTCAGCATCTCTAACTCTGAAACCGGCTGTGAAAGGCTGGTTTGTGGTTTTGTTTGGTCTGTTTAAAAAAAAAAAAAATGCAGTGAAGTTAACTGGTCTTCTAAGTCCAGTCCAGTTTGGGGGCCTGATAAAAGCAGGGAGCATGTTTCATCGGTGATCTTCCCTTCAGCCACATGTATTTAAGTCATTCATTTCTTCACTGTTGAATCCTTCCCTTTCCTTTGCATATGATACTTTCTACACTGATCATTAGTAATGTTGTGCCAATCTTAATTTTCTTCACCTCCTTTCAGTCTCTTATTTCACTGTTTCCTGCCAAACTTTTAAATTACTGTGTCCCAATAGTTATAGTTTTCTAAAAAGAAACTATTTCAGAACATTCTAGAATGTTTTACTCCAGGATTGGGCGAGTAAATCCTTTGAAAAGTGACCTTTTGCAAACCATAAAAGCATGCCATATTCTAAGTATATAATACAGCAATTTTCAGGAAAATCTGTGGAAAGGGTATGAGTTTGGGAAACTGCAGTGAAGGGGAGCATGAGGGCCACTTGAACAGATGCAAAGGCAGGTAGAGTGATCTCAGCATGGGGAGGAACAGCGTGGCATGTGACACTGCCATTTGTCCCACTGGTGTGGACTGGGAAGGTGGGGGTTCCTGGCATGTGGCCCTCCCAGCCCAATCTGCATGAACCTCCTCGTTTTCTAAGATATCAGAGCCCAGTCAGGTTAATAGCATTTGTGCTGTGATTTTATATGTTTCATTTCAGAGGAATTTAAGGGTTTTTTTTTTTTAAAAAAAAATGAATATATAGAATAGCATAATTAAGCAGAATTGAGAAAAGTGGGCATCGTGAACAAGTCATTTGTAAACCAAGATTTCAGAGATATTTATGGAGCTGTGACAACATTTAGCACTTTCCTGTTATTCAAAGTAAATCCTCTTCCTGATATGTTAAGTTCTGCAGTACAGACCATCAAGCTATGAAAGCCCTAAGATCAGATGTGAGACAGTTCCAAATTCCAGGTGGCGAGATGTTATCTCAGAAATAGAAGAGAAATGAGAAACAGCTCCCAGTCGGTTCCAGTGGAACCGCTCAGCGCACGAGCTCTGTTTTCTTCCTTTGTTGGTCTGTTGAAGTTTCCGCAGGGCTTTATCAGAAGCGGCTGGTTTCCCTGGCATCGTAGAGGGCTCTTGGACACTGGGGCTGCGTTTCCCAGTTAGAGGAGGCTTGAATGGCGTGCAGAGGTCAGGCAGCGGCCAAGAGGACTGCTCTGCCCTGCTCTCCCCCTAGAGCTCAGAGCTAGGGGCGTCCTGCCAGCAGGCCGGGAGTCTGCACAGTGTGGCTTCACTGGTGCGTACCCCACACGGCACCTCTTGGGGACCGCCCACAGGACCTTAAATGCCTTGATGATGTGTCCACGCAGTTTCATTTTGACGCCGGGCACAGCGCACGCATCTGGGTGTTTTCACCGCCTGCGGTGGCAGGCATTCAGACTCTGAGGGCATCCCTCCTGTCCCTGAGACACAGGCAGAACCGTCCTCCCATGGGGCTCAGAGCCCCGTCACACTTCTAAAATGCCACTGCCATCTTAGGTTTTTTAGACTCTTGGTTGAGAGGTATTCACCTTGAGATTTCAGAGCCAAGTGAAGTGGCAGGCATTGAGAAGATTCTTCAAAAGAATGTTTTAATCTCATCAGAGAAAGCTAGGGGACAAGAAAAAAAAATGATTGTCACCAAGTCACTTATCTCAGGATGCAATGGTTCTCCACCGTGGCTTCCCTCCTTGGTGCTAGTGTTGCTCTGTGCCATGTGCAGGCTCTGGTGAGGCCTGCAGTGTTATGTCCCCACCCCGTCCTTGCCCTCCCCTGCCTGAGGCTCTGACTGGAACTGGGGAGATGCAGCTCACCATGAGGAAGGAGTGAATGGCTCTTCACCTTCAGTCTCCTCTTCCAGATACCAGAACAAGAGTCTACCTCTAGTCCCCCTCAGGACCCAGTGGCCTGTCCTGGGAAGCATTTAACTCAGGACTCGGTGCACATAAGCAGGTCTCAAGCCCCTTTGAGCAGCCCAGGCCAGGTCTTCCTGTTGCCGCCCACCCATCTGCAGGCCCCTCTGGTGTCAGGTTTTCCGTGAAGCATCAGCCCTTCCCTCTGCCTGGCTTCCTGAGTGCTTTGGGCCTTCTGGAGACTTGTGCTTCCTGGAGCAGCTGGGTGCCCACCTGCCGAGCTGGACACTCCCAGGGAAGGCAAGCCATGTGGCTTCTGGCCTGCCAGAGTACAGGACCTCAGAACAAGCCCAGACCTGGCTCCTAGTGGGCACTCGTCAAAGCTGTAGGGTGAAATCGAGTCGGTGCCCTTCAGGCGCAGCAAGATCATGAATCACCAGAGGAAGATTGAGGGTGTTGAGTACTTTGTAATTGCAGTGCCAGGAGAGTGGACGTTTTTAGCAATAAAGCAATGCTCCGTCAAAGGGCGTTTTCTGGTTGACTCTGAGCACAGAATCCTCTCACTCCTGGCACCCTGTGCATCCCATGCCATCGGAATTTTCTGTTTTTCTCTGAACATTGAATGCATGGGTCATGGTGTTTTAGCCAATGAGAATTGGCTTTATGGGTTGTGTTTGTAGCCATGCACCCTTGAAGCATTGTCATATTGCTGGCCAGAAAACACAGCAGGGGGTGGTTGGGCAGAGGTGGGGCCTGGAGCCCAGGCGGGAAGCCACGGGGCGGCTGAGTGCTCTCGGACTGCTGGTCTACCTACACTTGTTCTTGGCATTGATTTCATTGAGAAGTTCAGAGTCGGGTGTCGTTTTAAAAATTCTGTGAACACCTTCTGTTTCACTTCTTTGTGGTCTTTCCTGATTGGAGATGGCTTATGCTGTGTGGGAACTCATCCTCTCCTCTCCCAGTTTCTGTCCTCTCCCCCCTTCCCTTCTTCCATTCAGCTGTGGCCTCTATGGTTGGAGCCTCCGTTAGCCGGTGTTGTTATTGGAGTGCTGCTGAAGACATTAGGGGCTGGAGACATTGGACAACATGCACATGACCATAGCCCAGGTGGCTGAAGAGCTGAAAAGGTTCACTCACGCTCTGGAGGCTGGAGTGTGGCCAGGTGGGTTGGGGGCCCCTCCTGGGCCTCTCTCCTGGCCTCACAGTCACAGGGTCTCGCAGGGTCTTACCTTTGTGCACATCTGTGTCCTGATCTCCTCTTCTTATAGGACACCAGATGGATTGGGTCAGGGCCCCCCAAGAACCTCATCTTCACTTAACCACTTCTGCCATTTCCAAGTGCAGTCACGCCCTGAGGAGCTGGGGGATGTCGAGGACACCTTCAGGCCACAGCAGCGCCTTTTCAGCCTGGGCCGTGGCTGTTCAGTCTCCTCTCGCCTGCTCCTGCCCTGGTCCCTCCCTGCCCCTCACCCTAAGGACCAGCCACCTCCAGGTCCCAGCGTCAGTGACTGGGCCTTCCCCCAGTGGCCTCTCCCTCGGGGAGACCCTGCTGTAGTTCTTTCTTTCCTGCTGTCCTGTCCACTCTTTCCAATTGCCTCGATTGCCTGCACCTCCTCATGCTGTTTCCTCCCAGCCTAGGATTCCCTCTCGCTCTGTCTGTGTGGGTTCTCTCTCTGCTTTTATGAGTCAGTGAGCAGGAGCCTGTCCGTCTTCCTCTACTCTGTCCTGATTCCCTCCTAATTTCTGCATGATTATTATTTTTTTGTTCCACTTTGCGTTTTCTGGGTCCTTATGAACCTCCTCCTCCCACCCTATTCTCATGTTGTTCCTCCGAATTTGTCCACTGTTCCAAGAGTTCTCTCTATTTTCTTTCCAGCCACTCCTGTCCTAAGAATGTCCTTCCCCTGCTGGGCTAGCCACCCATTCCGATTTCTCTTGGGTTGGGTGCTCTTCCTCTCCTTGATTGTTCCTCAGGAAAGCTGGCCCTCTTCTGCCTGGAGGCCCTCTGGACAGAGTCAAGGGTCACCCCTGCTTCATGCATTTGTAGAAAGGGGTGGTCTGGCAAAGCCAGAGTGGAAGGGATGGATCGAGCAGGCAGTGTAGACATGCCAGTGGATCAAAAGGAAGCAGAGGATGATGGCTGGATCATTACTTTAAACAAGTTAGGGCTTCCTAACAACTGCTCTGTGGACAGCTGAGGTTGAATTTCTATGGTGAATGTGTTTGATGCAATTGGTTTTTATGCTAATCTACCCAAGTTGACGAGCTGTTTTTAATCAAGTTATTTTTATCATTTCAGATGTCCTTGCCAAATTAGATGTAAGATGCTTTCTGAAAGCCCTCAATTCCACTTTTTATGGTAATTCTACTCATTTAATTTATAGTCACATCAGAGAACAATTGGTAATTCTATTTATCAAACTGGTTGGAAACAAGCATTTAACAGGGGTGTGGGAGGTACCGGACCAGCCAGGGCATCCTCGAGGAGAACTTTGCTCAACCATTTGCACTTTGTGTGCATTTTTCCTTTACTCAAAAGTGGGCAAAATCACTAAAATGACCCCAAATATCACCACCAACCCATATGGCACGAAGATCCCAGAACAGGGTAGGAGCCCTCAGCGTGGCTGGCCGAGCCACTCACACTGGAGCCTTGCACCTTCTTCAGGTGACAAGCCGGTTGCCTCTCGCCTTCTTGGAACTTGAGCTCTGCAAGACCAGGAGCAAGGCAGGCTGGGTTTCCTCCACCACGTGGCCAAGGCTGGGAAGCTCAAGCTCCGGCCAAGTCTCCTGGGTCCACGCGCACAGCTGGCGGAGGGACGAGCCCTCGTTTCCACGCTCTGCCTCTGAGGCTGAGCAGTTCCAGATGTTGGTGGAGTGGAGAGATTCTCCGTGAACTCCACGAATATCAGCGTCTATCAACGTGCCCTGAGACGAAGTCCTCATCAGATAGATCTTTTGTAAATTGAAGATAGGTTTGAAGTATTTATATAATTTTTACATACATTTAGATATTTACATTTTAATTTCAGGTGATGCCCCTGACTGTTATAATATCATAATTAAAGTGAACTGCAGGGCTTTTTTTCCCCTATAAATACACTTAAAGTCCATACCCAATTAAAAGTAACATAAATGGAGTTTCTCTCTTGTTGTGACTTTGATCTGTCCTCATGATGGTAGCCATTAATAGAGAATAGATTGCTCCCATTCAGCTCAGGTTCACGGACACTAGTGACACCACACCCTCCGGCAATGAGTAAACGCAGGAGACGCCTTATGACATGTCTCAGCATCCCTGTCTCTGTCCACACAAGATAGTCCAAGAGCTCAGCACCAAGGAGCCGGGCCCAGGGCCGAGCTGCAGCCTTGGAGTGTGGCCCAGGCTGAGCGCAGGACAACAGAGACTGTGCAGTTGTTCAGAAAACAGGACATGGCACCGCGTCTTGGACCTCTGAAAGATGGGTCCTCAAAAGACTTGTCTTTCCCTGCAGGTGGTCACTACTGTCCAGGCCTCCACAAGCCAGTTGTACAGTTAGACTACAGCTATCGTTACTATGACTATTTTACAATTCTTGCCATGAATATCATTGCTTTCATGGTTCAGGAAGGACTGAGAAAAGCAGATTGTGTGATAATGCACAAGATCATGTGCATGTTGTCCAATGTCTCCAGCCCCTAAGAGGTTTTCTGATAGGAGAAAATATGACCCACTCGCTGTATCAAGTTTATGCAGTACCAGAAGCTCAAGGTAGAGTCCTGAAGTCCCGATTCCAGGGGGCAATGGCCTTTCTCTGCACGCAGGCGAGACAGGTCCACACACAACCCAGCAGGCCTACATGCTTTCCAGCAGCAGGGACATGCTCTTCGTGGTGGCTGAAGGGGGCACCTATTTTGGTACAGGTACACTGGCCATCTTTCTGGTAACTCAGACTTGGAGCCCCCTGGTGTGGTGTGCCATGGATGACGGAGCCTGTGGACAGTTAGGAGCCTTGGTTCCTCCTGCGGGCAGCAGTCCAGTAGACCACTCTGAACATCAGGTTAGCTCTTGTGCCTTCATACTTCAAGGGGTGCCCCAGAAGCGGGGCACTGCACCAAAGGGGGAGGACACTGCACACACTGATGGGACAGAGTCATCAAACTCTCCATAGGAAAGGTTCTCCTGGTTATCTTGTTGACAGCAAGAGACCAGAACATCCGGCCACCTACCCCAAGATCATGGGACTTCCTAATCTCACTGGCAAAGCATCTCATTTTTTTAAACTTACATATATTTTATTTTTCTCTTTTTAGAGAGAGAGAGAAAATTTTTTAATATTTATTTTTTAGTTTTCAGTGGACACAACATCTTTATTTTATTTTTATGTGGTGCTGAGGATTGAACCCAACGCCCCGCGCATGCTACCACTTGAGCCACATCCCCAGCCCATATATATTTTATTTTATTAAGGCTTATCATCTTTCATATAGTTGGGATTTTTTTCTTTGAATTTTTTGGGGGGTGGCCACTGAAATTTTATATTTCACCCTCTTTCCATTTTAAATTAGGTTGTTATTTCTCATTAACTCAGAAACTCTTTCTGTTAAATGGATTCCCAGGCCTCTGCATTAGTTACCTATTACCCAAAACTACCCCAAAACCCAGTGGCTCAGAGCAGCACACATCTCCCATCTCGCAGCTGCCGTGACCGCCTGGCTGGGTGACCGCCTGGCTGCTGACCGCCTGGCTGGGTGACCGCCTGGCTGGGTGACTGCCTGGGTTGGTGACCGCCTGGCTGGGTGACCGCCTGGCTGGGCGCCTCGGCTCTGGGGTGTCGTGAAGCCGAGCAGAACCGGGGGCGAGCACCGCTGTCACCTTGGAAGGTTTGGCTGAGCCAAGCTTCCGAGAGCCAAGCTTCCGGGACGACTCAGGGGTGGTGGGCAGTGCCTTCCTGGGTGGCTCCCGCAGTCCCTGGCAGGTGGGTGTCTTCGTGGTGGTGGAGACATGGTGGTGGCTTTCCCAGAGGGAAGAGTGAGGGGACAAGAGCACCCAGGACAGGGCTGTCGTCTTTCTCTGGCTTCATCTCAGAACCTTCCAGTATTCCAGCCACCTTCTGCTCCACAGAAGCAAATCACAGGTCCTGACCCCTCAGGAAAGGGGACAAACAGGGTGTGAACAACAAATCAAGTGTCCTTGAGGACACCTTGGAGGGTCTCCACACAGGCTCACAGAGGTTTCTTGATCTGTGAGACCTTGTTTGCATCATCCTTTCTAACGTGTTATTATTGACAGGAAAAGGATCCCACTTTCATTGTGTGCCATAAGTTTTTGCCTGTGTATTGATTTTAACCTCCCTTTTCTTGTAACTTACTTTTTACTTGGGTACAGAGAGGGGAAGCCCTGCATTCACACAGGGCCCTCCTTGCCCAGGGACCTCAGAGTTTGGGACAGACCTTCTCCAGTGCACTGGGGCCCCGTGGAACGTGAAGTGCTGCCCTGTGTGTGCACGTTCAGGGAGCAGGGACCGCGCTGTGTCCTGGGCCTCCCTCTTAGATGTCTCCTGCACATCTTGGTCCTGTGAGCAGCCACCTGGCTGGCGGCTCCTCCTGCCTGCCATGTGACTCCACTGTGTGAAGGCTCAGTCTGCCCCTCCACTGCCCTGGGAGGAGCCCAGCCCCCTCCATCCTTTGGTCATCAAACAGGTTTTCTTCAGAGCTCGCTTGCTGGCTTCTGGGGACACACGTGCAGCTGGGAGCTCCTGGACCCGTGGGCCTCTGCTGATTTCCTCTAGGTGTGGCCAGAGACCCTCCAGAGCGGTCAGTCCCACACCTCCTTGCCAGCAGCCGGCCAGATCCTCCTCCCCAGGCGCTGCCCTTGGAGGTGCTCAGTGGTGTCCTGTGTGTTTTGTCACTTGGATGTCCCTCTGGGCCCTTGGCAGCCATTTGGACTTGCTCTCATTTGTATATTGAGTTTCCTGGTTTCCCAGCCTTTCCTTCTCGGTTTTCAGGAATTCTTTCTGTTTTCCAGATCTTACTTCCTCGTGTGGGTTTTAGATGCTGCCGATATCTTCTTCCAACATTTTCTCTCTTGTCTTTTAGGAAAAAACAAAACAAAAAAAAAAAAAAAAAAAAACAACTCCCTAAGGAGTGGAAGTGGTTGCCTCGTCTGTCTTTTCATGGGAAAGGCTGTGTGTGGCCGTTCCTCCCCACTGTCAGCAGATGTGTCCTCTGTGTTCTGCCGCTGGCTTCAGAACTGTGCCTGTGGCATCTCAAGTCCCTCCTCGGGGCACTTCTCTGTGCGCTGTTGATTAAGAGCAGCTCACCCCTCCACCCTGTGTGCAGCCATGCTGACCTGCCCACTGGGCCGCTCAGCCCCTCCCGCTGCTGTGAGTGCCTCATTCACCCTTCCTGATCCACGTCATGACTCTCATCTGCTCCTGTCCAAGCCTCCTCCGGTCTTAGCATATGCCCCATGGCCAAACACCACACAGACCCGGACCCTCCTCTCGGCTCTGCTTTTTCAAAATTGTCTTAGCTTTTTGTCAATCGTGGAAAGATTTCAACTGTTATGTTGGGAATTTTACTGAGAGCGGAAACTCAAGTCTCCGTAGGTCCTAGATCACAGGCTCAGCGCAGAGACTGAGCGTTTCAGTGCAGAGTCTGACTTGGGGTATATCCTTCTGCCTTGTGGAGCCCTGCTCTGGAGCACAGGGCCTCCAAGCTCCCAGCTGCAGGGCTCAGAGCGGGAAGCTCAGTGGACGATACCTGCCTTCACCCACGAGGCTTCTGCTTGCAGTCACTGGCCAGAACTGGCCATGTGGACACAGTCTGATTGCAAGAGCAGCAGAAATGGGAGAAACACATGGCAGGTTGTGGAACACAAATGCTCTCTATCAAGTCAAGGTCCCCAAAATAGCTGAGTCTTTGTGATTTTCTGTGTGGGTAATTCTCTCATCTGAAAATAACAAAGTCAACGTAATGTTGCATCTCAGTGCCTCAGAAAAACACTCAGTAATGTCAGAGGCAGGGAAACAAAGCCAGGGCAAAACTGACTGTTTTGCAGTTTTAAATATGAAGACAGAATAAGCTAGATTTTTGACGTCTTTTAATCTTACTGCAAACCCATGTAAATATCAAAATAACAAAATCAAGTTGATTTCTTACGTTCATGGAGAAAAGACACCTGGGATTACTTCTCCCTTCTTTCACAAAGGCGCTTTTGATGAGTTGTTCAACACCTTTTGACATCTCATAAGTGGACATTCTGTGTCCACAATGAGGCTGCCACAAAATTGTTAGCTGCAATCGTAACAACATGTTGTGTCAGTACTTGGAGCCAAATTGAAAGATTTTACTTCTAAACTCCAGTTGTTTCAACAT